TTTATGGTTTTTGCTATGATCAATATATGAGTGCGCTTGTATACGAATTCATGGAAAATGGATCGCTTGATAAATACTTGTTTGGGGAGAAGGAGATGACTGGGTGGGAAAAATTACATGAAATAGCGGTAGGGACAGCCAAAGGGATTGCCTACTTGCACGAAGAATGTCAATAGAGAATCATTCACTCTGATGTAAAGCCTGGAAATATGCTGCTTGATGAAAAATTCTTCCCTAAAGTTGCTGAATTTGGGCTTGCAACGCTCTACAACAAAGATAGTACTCACGCTTCAATCACTGGATAAAGGGGAACCCCGGGTTACTCTGCCTCGCAATTCTTACTTAGGAATCATCACATAACATACAACTGTGATGTGTATAGTTTTGGAATGGTTTTGTTTGAGATAGCTGGGAGGAGGAAAAACACGGTTATTAGTTCCTCTGAAAGGCTTGATTGGTTTCCAAAGCATGCGTGGGAAAAGTACGAGAAGGGGGAATTGACTGAAATGACAGTAGATTGTGGGATTGAAGAGAAGGATAGGGAAAAAACAGAGAGAATGTCCGTGATTGCATTGTGGTGTGTTCAAGACTCACCAGAGGCTAGGCCACCAATGAATGCGGTGGTGAAGATGTTGGCAGGAGGAGTGGAGATCAAGCCGCCTCCTAAACCTTTTCATTATCTATTCTCAGTAGTCAGTAGGGATGAATGCAGTCAAGCCAACTGCTGGTTCAAGTTTCTCCTTAAGTGAAGAATCCAATTCTTATTGGTATAAAGAGACTACACCCATCATGTCCAAATATGAAATCCAAGTAGCTAGTAGTTAAGAATACTAGTAAAATCTAGTTTTTAGAAAATGTATGTTTTGTTTTATTTATTTATTCATTTATTTTTTGGAGCAGTAAAGGTAGTTTATTATTGTCCAGATTATAAGGCAGTGGCGGAGCCAGGGCGGTGCGGGGGGGGGGCGCTCGTCCTCTGAAATTTGAAAATTTTGTAAATTAGTATATGAAAAATTTTTTAGCTCCCCCTGAACTTTGAAAATTTTAGTATTTTGCCCCCCCGAAAAAAATTTCTGCCTCTGCCCTTGTTATAAGGGTTAATTTGTTGTTATGATGTAGTGTATTATGAAGTTTCTCATTTGTTGTCTAGCTCACAAAATTCTAAATTTCATTTAATTTCTTGATACAATGCTACAGAAGATAAAGCTGCAACCTCCAACATCTCTTGTTATGATTGCCTAGGTTGTTGCCTATGTGTAATTCAGTATAATTCGATCATACCAGGAACCAAAGATAAAATATTTTCTTTAACTTAATTTGTCCTTTCCTATTAGTCTACTTGTGGAAAGGCATTCCTTTATCTAGACGTGTAAGGAAAAGTCTGTATTACACATGCATGTTGCTTAATCCAAGGAAATGTGCTTGATTTTAGGAATCATCTAGTCATTGTATATTTGTTGCAATTGTTTGTGTTCTTGCTCGGACAAGTCAGCCGTAACATGCAGTTCAAGTTTGGGAGGTTGTTGCACGTGCCGAAGCTCTTTGCCTTTACCAGCAATTACTCTATCAGGTCCGGGTCTGGAGCATCTAGGGTTGTTTATAGAGGGCAGTTTCCCTATGGAATCAAGATTGCAGTGAAGGTGCTCGAGAAAAGTTTTTAAGAGAGTAGCAACGAAGGAGGATGCAATGAAACTTTGAGATCGTAGCAGTGCCAATCGGACTACTGTAATGAAGCCTTTCTTTTGAATCCTCATTGAATTCCTTCTTACATGCGTTGCAAGTTAACCCCGACATTCTTCCTAGTTTGTTTTCCAATTAAATCTCAAAAATTGCGTAAATTCAAAGAAACCTATTGTTTACACTATAAATTGTAAATATATTTAATGATGATATGTGTCATATTATTTGAATAAATAGTTATGATTAAGTCACATTAAACATCATATTACTGTGATCTAGAGTATGACAGACTTTACTAATGATTGCACATGTTCAATTAAATTTGGTGTTTTCTATAGTTATCTCATATTTGTCTAGTGGTATTTAACATTAGTGGAGATCGTGGGTAAATTTTAAGAGAAGTCACAGGCCAAGTTCAGCAAGCGGGTAAGGTGACAAACAAGTGGTAAGTTCTGGAGAAGGGTTTAACCAAGTTTGTTGCTTAGTTGCCTAACTATCTTAGAAAGTTTGTTGTGTTTTGCACAAATGGAAGTGGGTAATAGATGAAAGTATGTGGTTACCATCTATCTTAAGACATAAGAAAGAAAAATTTTAAATAAACAAGATATGGCTAATTTTATATACAACTCAACAAATTCAACTTTCTAATTTCCTAGGTATTGTTTACACATCTCACATTCCTTAGTTTTAATACAACTATTAGTCAAATTTAGGTTAGTTCTATCTTCTATAATAATTTATTTGTTTATTTAGTGATTTTCAGATAAGTATCATTCCCTCGTGTCAACTTATATGGCTTTTAAGTCTCTTATTCATATTTATGTTAATTTCAATATGTTTTGCCTACTCATCTTGATAACTTAGTTTTATTCTAGTTTCAAGCCCATTTACTTTTTTTTAGTTCTGTAATGATTTAGTTTAATCTATTAATAGTTTTGGTAGTTAAATCTTTTGGTACATTTAGATGTAGGCTCATTTGTTTCACTCGTTTTAGTTATTGTGAATCTTTAAACTTTCAATTAATAGTGATATTTTAAAGTTTTTAAGATTGTTTAAGATAGATCAATAATCTATTCTATAAAAAAGCATTCTTTTTTTTTTTTTACAAATTATTTAAAGGTATAAAACTCAATTTTAAAGTAACATTCTTTCAACTATTCTAATAGAAATCAACTTCGTAAAAGAAAAAAATTGTGAAAAAACCCTACTTTCTTACTTTTTTTTTATTAATCTATTGGTATCCGTAATCACATTAAATTTTGACTAATTCATAATTAACTTTTGTCAAACCTCATTTGGAAAGAAACTCTTTCAAAATCTATTTTTTCAATCATAAAACTTAAATTCAAAATTTTAAAACAAATCAAATTTTTTCTATTTAGAGAAACAACTCATTGATACCCTCTCATATTTAGACTAACAACTAATTGATACCCTATTTAGACAAACAACCTATTGATACCCTCTCATATTTAGACTAACAACTCGTTGATACCTTCTCACCATTTTATAATAAAGTGGCGAGTTTGACATCCAAATATCCCCCACACGTGAGGCCGCTTGAAGTTTTTTTGTGAAAACACCTACATAGATTTTAGTTTATAGGGAATACGAGATTGTGGGGTCAGTCCTGAGAGGAGGTTTATGACTGGCGGCTCGAACTCGGTCAAACAGTTAACCTGGGCCGTTTTCTTTACACAACTCTTGCATGGCTTGGGCCAAACGGGCTTTATACTTTATAGTAAAAGGGCAGCCCGTTAAGAGACCCGATGGCCCTCAACCTCAAGTTCAATGGACCGAAGAAAAAGCGAAAGCTTTCTAGTTTCTACATTCGTTGGGAAATCTATATGCGGGCTCTATTACTGAAAATTATGTGGGCCTAATGTTTTACTATCCTTTTGTTGTGAAGATGAAGTCCTTTTCTTGTTACGGGTCGGGCATTAACGCAAGAGACTAATTAGGGAACCATTAAATGAGACCCAAGGTTGGCTTCATTTTTCATAAAAAAAAATTAATCAAGTTTAAGAAAAGTACTTTATTTTGAGTTAAGTTTTAACAATGTGTTTAGTTTGAGGAAACTAAGGGAGGAGAGAGAGGAGGGAAGTGAAGGAATTAATATAAAATAATAACGTAAATTATTCTGATCCTTTCCCCTCCTCTCCTCTTCAATTTTTTTCTTTTTGTTAATAAAATAGATGAATTTTCATTGTTCTCCTCCTATTCTCACAAATTAAATATATCGTAAAACTTTTTTATTTTGTTGTAATAATAATATATTCTTTTGTCAAATTATAAAAATAAGATAAAATTACTAAACTTTTATAGAAGTTAAGAATAACTAAGTTTTAATTATGTCTAATTTTTCTTTATATTAGTAAAGAATCTAGGAATACTATTATTTAAAAAATAAAAATAATATACATTCTTCATTAATCTTTTAATTTTAGAGAAAATGATCAACGTGCTCAACTATTCCTAACTTCTTAAATAAATATATCAAATTTAACGTATTTTATAATTTGATAAAAGAATACTTGATACCAGTAACAAAACATGACCTTATCTGAAACTCAAAAGAAAAAGGGCTAAACCGCTCAAGTATGAGAAAATTGTATATTCTTAATATATAGGTTAAAATCTTATTTTGGTCTCTCAACTATTGTATGGACCCCTAATTTGGTCCCTGAACTAAAAAAATCCCTAAATTAGTCCCTATTGTTTACCATTTTGACCTTGATTTGGTCTTTCCGTTAAAAATTGACTTACGTGAACCGTTACTTGACGGAAAAAAAGATGACAGTTTAAATACCTTGCCACATAGGATTGATAATGAAATAAATTATAAAAATAAAATTATTAAATGTTAAATTATAAAGATAAAATTACATTTTTACCCTATCTTCAACCACACATCACTTTCTTTCCTTCCTCCTTTCATTGGGCCTCCCTTACTTTTCATCTCCAACCTCTTTCGTTATTCATCTTCTTCCCTTGGATCCTTGTTTGCCGGCTTGGGTTTTAATCCTCTCCTTTTCTCATCTCCTCATCATCTCTTTCCTTTCATCATTTATCATCTCCTCTTCGAAACCCAACAGATCTGCTGGGTTCTCGACAACCCAACGATATGCTGGGTTCGATTAATCAAACCCAGCAGATTCGCTTGGTTCTCAAGAACCCAACAGATCGCTAGGTTCTTTGATCTGTTGGGTTCTCGACAACCCAGCGATCTGTTGGGTTTGATTCCCAGCGATTTGCTAGGTTTGATTTTTTTTTTTAAATATTTATGTTTAGAAGCTTGAATTTTAGGGATATTTTTGGGTTGCAGCTGATTATTTTGCTAATGAATATTTTGTTTGTGTGAGTTGTTTTCATTGAGAATTTAGTAAAAATTGGTTGAGGGAAAATATTTACCCATATGACTGCTTATGATTATTGAACCCAGCGATCTTCTAGGTTCGATTTCTTTTTTTTTTTTAATATTTATGTTTAGAAGCTTGAATTTTGGAAAAATATGCCTTGATATTTCTGAGTTTTTTTGGGGAGGTTGAAAGAAAGAATTTAGGGCGGTGACTGGTCTGGGGAGATTTTAGGTTTGTATTATTTTTTGATTTATTGTTAGAAGGTGTTAGGGTTTGCAGAAGGCGAAAGGAAGGAAGAAGATGAAAGGGAAAAAAGGAAAATCAAAGGAGCAAAAAAGAAAAAAAGGGAAAAGGAAATATTTTAAGGTTTTTTTTTTGCCATGTCATTGTTTTTTTTTTGTCATATCATTGTTTTTTTGCCATGCTGTCATCTTTTTCCGTCAGGTAATGGGACACGTAAGTCAATTTTTAACGAAAGGATCAAATTGGGGTCAAAATAGTAAACAGTAGGGACCAAATTAGGGATTTTTTAGTTCAAGGACCAAATCAGGGGTCCGTACAATAGTTGAGGGACCAAAATGGGGTTTTAACCTAATATATATTCTAGTATATAACTTAACCAAATCCCATCCTGATTTCGTCCCTCATATTAGTGCACCTGTTTTGTTTTATTTTATTTTATGAAAAGATAAAATTTTCATTAAGCAAATATCAAAGTCAAATATGAAAGTACAGCGAAAGCAGAGCATTGCTGTGCCACCTCTGCACCCAATCCCTTTGAAGCTAACTAATTTATATTGGTCTATTAGCCATATTAACAAGAGAGGAATGATATGTTGGAGATTGGGGTTAGAAAATAAATCATTGGCTTCAAGACGTGCTGCAAATGTCACTTTCTTTTAGACTAATTTCGCCCCACCAGATCTGGTATGCAAAAAAGGTAACCTAAAATACTCATATAATACAATGAAGCGTCTTATTGATCTAGCCTTTGCACTAGCAAAATTAACCACTGAATCATCCTTTTGAAAGCAAGAAAACAATAGTTTTTGTACAATGATTTTTGCAACAATCGTAGTATAAAAGAGGTTGTTTTATTTAGATAATAATAGGGATTTGGTTCTATGTTCAAAAGTGTAAGAAGAAGAAGAGATAACTCCATATTTAGAGACGCAAGATGTTTGTTGGAAACAAACGTTCCTTTTCAATTTTATTCGTTGAAAACTCTTTCAAAAGTCATTTGATTTGATTTGAATTCCAACTCACGTGTTTCCTTATCTTCCAGAGTTATCCACTCTTCCTTGAGAATTTTATTAGAATTTTATTTCTTATTTCTAACATAAATGGTTCGAACCATATAAATGTGACTCGAGCTAAAATCATAACTTTTTGAATTCTAATTTTACGTAAATGGTTCAAATCATAATTATATGATTTAATCCAAAGTTACACTTTCTTAAATACATCTATGCAATTGCTTCGAACCAACTTTTTGTGGTCGAACCCAAATATTGAAACTATTTTGAAAATTCTTCAACATGATATGGAGATAATTTTTGTGTAATTTTTTAATATAATTTTTATATGTTATTAAATGAATGAATAAATGCATATAATATCATATATTTTAATAGTACAAAAAATTAATTATTTAATGATATATAAGATTATATAAAAGATTATTAAAAAAAATTAGTTCTTAATCATTTTCCTTAACAATATGAGTGACTAGCTAAGCCCTAGAATGCCCAAGTTGTTATTTAACCTATCTAATCAATCCATTTAAAATCACTATTCCACATATCTACTAGTGTGCTTGGGTCCAAGGGAACGAAGGAATTCTCTATTTAATTATCAAAAGAATAGAAGGGGAGAAGAGGAGAGGGGAATGAAGGGAAACAAAAGAATACAAACATCTTTCTATTTCTATTCCTTCAATTCAAATATATAGAAAAAAAATATAAATCAATTTTAATATAAAAAAATAATATTCTTTAAAATAATAAGTTAAAACTCATTTTTGATCTCTTAACTAACAACAATTTATTTTGCTCCCTTAAGATTAAATTTCAACTCTTTTTTTATTCATCCGCCAGTTAAGAGTTGACGTGGCAAAACTTCCCATCAAATAATTTGTTTCTTTCATTTTTTAATATGAAAAAAGTGCCTATCAACCTTACCTGTTAAAGATTAAGAAGAAAATCATCTTTAAACTACGTCGTTTTAATAAATTTTTATTGAAAAAGACTAAACTACCATATTTTTAAAGCATACATTAAAGCGATTTTTGTCCTTTTTCCTCCTAATTTTTTGGAGGTAAGGCGAACAAACACTAACCCTTTTTAATATTACATGGAAAATTGAAATCCATTCTTTTGCTTAGGTGCACATTTTAGTAGCCCCTTTATAATTAAAATTGGCACATAAACTTTTTGAAAATTTACTAATATAATAAAAAACATAACAAAAAGACTATTTCTCTAGTTCAAGCAACTAGTTTGAGTACCAAAGGAAGCTGCGTGTTGATTTCCTTATAATCTAATGAAAGCTTCTTTTATAGTTTTATTCCTTGGTCAATTAGGTCACAATCCGGACATTATTTTCTTTGCGTAATTATCTCCACCTTTCTAGCAAGTTGATTACAATATAATTCTTGATTGACTATCTATCTATAAAAGATAAGCACCTTCCTAGCAACTAGTACCAAGACTTTCTAATTCTGCAGCCCATTAATGGGGTAGAAAAGGATCCTCGAAATTTAAAGGTTAAACACTCAATTTTTGGTCCTTCAATTATTAATGGATCCTCAAGTTCATCCCTAAACTTAAAAAATTCTTAATTTGGTTCCTAAAGTTTGACTGTTTAGCCACTTTTGGGTCCCACCCATTAAGTTTTGGGTGATATGGCTTGTTAATTAACGGCAAAAGCATGACCCATCAAAAATTAAACTCGTGGAATTCATAACTTGGCAAAATGCATGACATTGATATATCAAAAAAAGATTCTACAAGTAATCCCCTAATTAATGTGCCCAAAACATT